TCGATATGGAAGGATTTCTATGCGCCTCCTTTATGAGAAGAAGTGTAAAACCTGCAATTTTTTCCATTTTGGCTTTTAATGCGGAACTGTCTCGTATTCCGTCGTTGTCAAACAGTGCAGCCGTTAATCGTTTTGACTTTTGGAAAGACATAGTTCACGCAGCCTACGAAGGTTTGTCAAGCAATGCTATCTGCTTTAGTAAGTGTGTTAATATTGGCTTAATTGTAGGAGAACATTGGCAAATACCTATTGCGCAAGCTTTGAGCGACACAATACGCAAATATAACCTTTCGAAAAAATGGTTATTAGATTTAGTGGAAGCAAGGCGTATTTGGCGCCAAAGCAACGTCTACAAAAGCTTTGCAACGATGGAAGATTATTTCTCAAAAACGTTTGTTACTGTAATTTATTTAATCTTGCAGGTTGTATATTCGTCCGTTGTCTCTATTGCATTCAAATATTTTGAAATTTCAGATATATCGAATTGAAGGACTTCACACGGATCATGTAGCAAATCATGTTGGCAAAGCAGTCGGATTTGCTAATACATTACGATCGATTGGACTTTATGGCGACAAAGGAGCTTCTTATGTTATTCCAACGGAATTACTGAATCGTTACAAACTTACCGCGGATAACTTTAAACCTGAACGTGCAAACGAAATATCCATTGTAGTTGAGCATATAGCCGAACATGCTGCAGCACATTTACAACGCGCTCGCAGTTTCAAGGTATTTTCAATTGACTGAGAAAATATTGTAATTGCATTAATGATTTTAGGAGAAAGTGCCTCGCAAAGCAGCAGAGGCATTTCTTTTCTCGGCCATTGCGGACAACACACTTCGTCTTCTTAGGCAGTGTTCCTACAATCCATTCGATCCGCGAATTCAACAGCGATCTGCTAAACTAATAATTGATATTTTGAAGCATCGCCTTTTAGGGACATACTGATGTGTTGGTCAAAAATTATAAAATGTTTTTCCGTTGCAGCGTCGTTCTTGATTGTTTAATTCCCGTCTTAAGTTGTCGCACCTGCACATTATTTTTTAACCAGTTTGAGCTGCCATAGCGGTAAGGACGGAATCCCGAAAAGTGTGGTTTCAATCCACTTTCGAATCAACGTATTGCATGCCGAGCTTGGAAATAACAGGAATTCTCACAGCGAAGAGAAGTGGAATTTTTGAAAATGGACGCAACTGCTATATGGTTGAGACCCACTCGCGAAATAGAAAGGGTACCCCCGTTTGTCGTGCAACGTTTTGCCATAGCTGCATTGTACCGTCAGCGTACGCAAGTGACATCTAAGACCACTTTGGTTTTCGTGGATTTCCTTAAAGTATCTTTTTACTCGAATCCTGAAGTGATTACGTGGTGAATACAGAGGCGTAAAAAACTCGCAAACGCTGGAGACGAAAAAAGATTTTTTCTAGAGCTTTCAGCCAAGCTTCAATGCTTCTGTAATAGCAGGTTGCCCATTCACTGGCAAGTCCATTGTTTTGTTTAAAGAGCGGGCAGTTAAGGCGACTCATCCGCAAACCAATCGCATAAATTAGAATGTAAACTTCGCTACTTGCCTTGTTCCTAATAGACTGTCATTCGCATCTTCTGCAGCTAAATTCTACTTGGCAAATTAAGTCGACATACGTTATCTTGAATGCATGGACTCATCTACCTGCTTGCAAACGGTATAGGTGTACGGTAGTCTTGCAGAAAAACTGCCGAACATGAACTGCTTATTCTCGTTAGTCTTGCAAAGTAAGTTGGCTTTCAGTTAGCACGGTTAGTGCACAATTGGGTTTGGTAGTGCTTACGAAATCGAGTTGTTTTTTTTGGACTCGACAACGGGGTAATTCAATATAATTCACTTAGGTTTGTCGGCATTGCTTCACAAAATTTTCACGCGACTTGTCGCTCCGTTTCGCGCGACGCAGTTGCATACTTCAGTAATGGCGAAAGCACTGTTGCCTACTTTCAGACACGAGAACAATTCCTGCATGCGCTTCCGCTGACGTTTAAGCTATTTGACTTTTCCATCTCATTTCGCACACAAAATTGTACGCTAAAACATTTGCGTAGAGAAAAGGGAATATTGTAAAACGCTCTTTCCGAAAGACTCCCTTATTCGAACATCCAATGCCGCTTTTTATCGCTCTTCGTATTTCTCAGCATACTGTAAGCCTGTTATTTTGAATTCAAAAATATGATAAGTAGGTACGTTTCATGGCGCTTCCAAGTTTTTTCCATTTTGTAGCGTGATAATGCCGAAAATCGACGCGACCGAGTTTGCCAGTAGAAACTTTGACGTTGTTCAATGGCTGAACAACGTGCTCGGCGATGAAGGCGAGGAAGGGACTTTGCTGGAGCGCGCCAGAGGCGTTCTCAAAGAGGTTGAACGCGCCGGCGAAGAGATCGAGAGGCAATGGGAGACCGTGACATGCGAAGCGACCGACTTGGTACCCTCTTTGGATGCCGAACTTAGAATTGCCGAGCAGACGGCAGTGCAACTGACCGGTCAGGTGAACGCATTTCGGCAGCAATTGAACTCAATGGATTTGCAAAATGCCCAAGTTATCCAAGATTTGATCAGAATCAATCGTGCCAAAACTAACTTAGACACTTTGCGTAAAAGTCTTGCCGACGCTGACCGTTGGAAGTCATTAGTGGACGGCATAGAAGACGTATTCGCTACTGGTGATTGCGCAACCATATGCGGTCATCTTGTGAAGATGCAAAGTTGTTTGGATCAGTTGCGTGAGTCGGCTACGGAGTTGAGCGCGAAAAAAAGCTACATGGAGCAGGTGAAAGATCAATTCGTGTCCGTAGTAAGCCCAAGCGTCATTGGTGCATTTACGGCCAATTCTTCGGATAGTTTATCCTATTTTGGGCAATTGTTCGACTCGCTGAATCGTCGTGCCGACTTGGAATCTTTGTTTACATGTTACATCAAACGTCAGTTGATCAATTTATGGCAGAAAGCTTTGGGTAGCGTCGAGTTTGAAAATTTGGTCCATCTGATGCAGTCGTTTCATAACGTCATTGTTGAAGTATGGTTTGAGGAGGTTAAGAATTTAAAACTTCTTGTCAACATATCCGATACTGTTGTTTGCGATGCTTTTGAAAGCTGTCTCGAAGAGGTAACTCCTTCCATTGGTCAATTGATCACCCCAACGATGGCGTCATCATCAGAAGATGTAAAAATTTGCAAGGAACTTTTGACCAATACAGTAAAGGCGGCGGAGTGTCATTGTCAAAATGCCTCGTTTGTACGTCGCTTCCGGTTGAGTACGGGCCTATACGAACTGCTAACGCCAATATTGAGCAATTATCAGAAGGTGGTAACAAGTCATTTATTGGAACAATTGAATAAGCTATATCCTGAACGAGTGACTTGGTCAACATTTGGCCATAACCTTTTGGCTTCAAGGGAAATACTCGCTTCCATTCATTCCAGCTTAGAGACAAGTGTTGCCTTGTTTGGTTCGCTTGTTCTACCGTGCGTATGCAAAGCAGCCGACGTGATGTTATGCAATTATTTAACTCACGTGGAAACGTCACTGACTTTGTTAAGCAAAGATGACGTAATGGATACGAAGAATATGGTCAAACAGGCCAGTCGTCTGCTTCAGGTGCCTCTGTTTTCAGGCAAACTTTTAAGTTTAACTCTTCGTCTGGAGAACGCTTTGATTGGCTGTACGCAACAGTTTCTCGATAAAATGGAGATGAGCTCCAAGGAACCACGGGAAGAGGCGTCAAGTCAATGGACGCCCTTTGATAGTGCTATACTTCGTAATGACCAAATACGTTGCATCTGTGAGCAGTTTGTTGATCGATTGGTGGGCGACTGGTCATTGGACGAATTTCGTTTGGACGTATTGTTGCCTGGTTTTGGGTCCAAGTTACGCAGATTGTCTGATCGTCTGGCTGCTTCGACCATTGATGGTCTGTTCGATCCTGTAAAACGTATTTTGTCCGAAGCTCAATCATTGGACAGTTGGTGGCGAGACGATGGTGACAACAATCTTCGATCCGATCTACCGGTTTTCAGCTTCATTGCGCAAGAATACGTTACCTTTTTAGGTCAGTATTTGTTAACTTTGGCACATAATTTGGAGCCTCTATTTCCGCCCAACGATGCGGAGCTCAATTTGGCCTTTCGCCGTTGTTCAATACCTTATTTGTCCCCGGAGACGACCGACATGGAATCGGCTGCTCGAAGATTGCTTGAATGCGCCAGCCGAGGAACGGTCATTCATTTTGTTGAAATGATCAGCGGTTTACGATCGATGTCCATTTGCGGGCAAAAGCAAATGGTGGCCGACGCGGAATATTTGTGCAATTTGTTGGAAGATTTGGGTATTTTGGTGCCCGAAGAACTCGTGTCCTTAATGACTGTTCAGTCGAGCAAAGATAGCTGAATTTGCCATTGTATTCAAATGGATTAAATCGCGCGCTTTTCAAGTTTCACTGGCCATTAAAAGCGATCGGAGCGCAGTGCCTTCCCGGCTATACGCAACAATAAAAAGGCAATGTGCCCTTAGAATTTCGCGTCGCAACAAGCCTCAGATGTCTTTGCAAGTGAGAAGTGACGCCGCTGTTTCTTTTGTGAACCTGCAAATCATTCTGGTGACGATAGACTTAGGCAAACATTTGAAATCACGCTTTTCCAGTAATGCGCTTGCAACTGTCATGTATTAATGACATTTCTTCATTGAAGCAGAAGTTATTCATACTAAGTTTGAGCTAATAATCCATGAACTCGATTCTGTACTCAAGGAGGTCTGCGTAAGCGACCACGTTGACTACTGCCATAGTCGTAGAAGCTGTTGCGGCGCCTTTAGTGTTTTCTGCACAAAAAGGCATTAATACTTGCTACCTTTCAGGCCAACAGGTGAAACTAATTAGGAGTAGCATATGCGACTTCAGTTGGAGCCCAAATAGCAGCTTTGTGAAAGCCTGGAAATATTAGAGCGAAGTTGATGCATTTGTACTTGAAAATCATTGGAGCTACAGGGAGTTGAACCCCGGACATTCCGCATGCGAAGCGGATGCTCTACCACTGAGCTATAGCCCCTCGGAAGAGAATTCGGTATTCACAAGGAAGCTTCACGTTCTGCAGTGCATCGTTTCACGCATAATTCAATTCGTCTAATTGAGTACTGTAGGTGACGTATGACCGTCTCCTCTGAATCACTTGTCTTAGGTTTAGGTCGGGATGTATTGTAGAGCCCACGGAAACGTAAACGCGTGCAAATGAAGTTAAGCGGAGACAGAGCGGTGGGTAGACGAGACGGCCATCGAAATAGTACCTGAAAACACTTTTCAGTTCGAAATACTTTAAATAGTTTTTGTAAGTTTAAACTCTGCAGCCAATATTCGTTCGACTATCGGTGTCAACTCGCAGTTGCCTGCTTCGGCAGGCAGCGGTAGGCTGGTGCGTTCAGTATTAAAAAAATATTGATGTGTGAGCAAGCGCGCAACTGCGCTTAGTAGTAGTTGCCTCTTGATCACGTGCACCGTCAGCAATGCCTGCTTGGCGGAACAACCAATAATGTACGCTTAACTGGGAGCACTGATGCAACAAGTTGGAACGATGCATACTTTCAGATTACCGGATAGTACACGCAAGGCTTTCGAAATGGCGCAACCCGACCAAAGTATCGGCTAATTTGAAAATCAAGACGAAGAACAAATTATGCAAGAATGTTTGTTGTCATTCGCATTATAAGTATCAACAATGTATCGCTTAAACCCTTTCGCTATCAGTGTTAACTTTCACGCAGCAATTACGAAATAAACTTGCGAATATCAGTGTTCCTTCGAACACAAGCTGCGCAAATCAAATTCTTGCTGCTATCGCGTTTGAAAAAAACGCGAATACAGGTTTCCATTTCCCCAATAAGGTATAGCTGTGCGCCGTTAGAGAAAAGTGAAAACACAAAACTTCATCCATTCTTCTACTCCATCTTCGGCGTGCAAAAGAAAATGGCAAAGTGACAAAACAGAGGTCCAACGATGGCAGAGATAGTCCATGAATGGGCTGTTGGCTAAGGTTGGTGAATTTTGCTCCCCTTGTTAAAGCTTGAAGGAACGTATCAATGAGAGGCGCATGTAAAGCTCGCGAGCGGTTATATTATAGATTTCAGGGTGGAATGGTTCAACAGTAATCCCTCTTATGACGGCTGTCCAAATGCTACCGACCTCTATCCCTTTCGCAATTAGAGTAACGTCATTATAATATAATGATAATAACCTGCACATCGTTAATACTGTACTTGTTGCATTACGTGTTCGCCCTCCTTTGTGTTTACCCCAGTAAGTTCTGCCGCTTACAGATGTTACAGTCACAAACTGTAGTAACACTCATCTACTTGAGACATTTCCGAAATCCTTGGGAAACTCCGGATGATCGTGTCGCTAGCATCTGTATCTTTGGGCGCCGAAGTCGTTTTACTGCCGACGGTTCCCTCCGTTTCGTCCAAGCGTGAAAGAATGTTGGCGAGTCACGATCGCAAGAATAATTTCATCGAAGCTGTCCATTGGTGAATAAGACCTGAACAGAAGGCTAACTACCCAACATTACGGAAGTTTACGGATGGCATCTGAAAAGGTCAAGCAGAACAAGGCAGACAGACAGACAGACAGACAGAGAGAGAGAGAGATACTTCGAAGATGTCGTTGCCGGAAGTGTTCTTATTTACTGATGACTCTCAAATGTATATTCATCCATAATATTCAGTGAAAGTGCATAACGTAAGCCCTCTTCGAAGGGTGTGTTGCACGCTGCGACGGTTCATCTCCAAATCCCGAATATCAAAATTTGCTGAACAATCAAGGCTTAGGGTCTTAATTCTGAACGCTACAGTGTTGAATGAATGAAATCCTCATGTGGATAGTTGTCTTGGGGTGGTTTCCACTTGCAACTGCTAAATAAGGGATGCACCTAAATCGTAAAGGTATTTTTCCATCGCAGTAGAGCAGCTTTGAGGCACCGTCGGTCATCATCATCACACTGCTTTTCTTTGGTTTTCTCTGTGAAGTTTTGGGTTACCATTCAGTAATTTCGTTGGCAGGATGATTGTACGATAAAGCTTAGGGTTAGGCTTAGGCATACGGTTGTTTCTGCCTTAGCAAGTCAAATGCAGAATCGTATTATGATCTCACTTCGACGGAGAGGACCGTGACATGCCGAGATTTCATCATTCAGAAAATTACAAGCCGAGACATTGAATAACACACTTAGCATTCTGAACCGTTCAAGACTTCAACCCATTCAGCATTTCGACTATTAGGGACCTCATTACGCTAAGGCCTTGATCTCTATTTTCAACTTGCGACTCCAAGCAGTCTGCAATGAATGCCGTTTTGATATGGCACAAAAACTGCCTCTTAAGGAACGTTGCTCACTACTCTTTTTGGAATCATTTTTTCGGGATTCAGACACAGACCCCGTTGAGCCACGCCTGTCGAGGGAACACCTTCTCTGACATTTCTTTCGTTGTTAGAGCGTTTGTCTGGTTTAAATTTCGGAAACCCAAAAATGGGCAATACAAAAAAGCCTACGAAGATACAATACAAAATACCGAGATTTCGTCACTCGGGATTTCGACCCATTCAGAACTTTAACATCACGCAGATCCTTATCTTATCGCTTTTTCATAGTCCCCTATTTTTTCCGCCGACGATGGGTCCACGTGGGGGCCCCTAAGCCGCGGTTGAACAGGTTGCTTCGCAAATAAAGTCTATACATACACTAATGGAAATTTAAAAACCCGTTACGGAATGTCATGCGTTTAAAAACTAATACGTTGGGCAAAACCTACGCTTTTAACTCAATTAAAAACCTACTGTAAACAGCAGATATGATGTGCAGGAAGCATATAAATGATATGCAGATTGTGCTCAATAGCAAATAGCTATGCGGGTTGAACACTTACGCGGCTAACGTGTGCACTTTAAACTCGCGAGTTTAAAGTACATACTTTACTTGACTAATGGGCAGTTTGCTCCAGTTCAGTTAACTCCGCGCTGTCCTACTGTTGCGACTCAATTGTGCTCACTTCATCTGCGGTAAGTGATCGTTTGTTGCATATGATCTCTTAAGAAGCGTTGATATTTGTTAACAATAAAATGTCTACAGCAATGGATGGTGACGCGTTCATATTGGAGGTCGATCTTGAAGTGTTGGTCAATGTGCTCACTGGAGTTGAACCGTGTTTACAGTTTTTTGACAAAGACGGCGATTTCGTTCAGGTAAGCGACGACGATCAAAACTACTTTCACTTCCGGCTGTATATACACTGCCGACTTTGTTTGGACAGATAACGGCTGCTGAGTTAATAGAAAATGGTGTAACCATTGAAGCACTTGCGCTTGCCGAGAGCGCTGAGTTGGATGGAAGCACCTCAACTGAGGAAATTGAACGCAGCCTATCAATATCACCTAGCGAAAATGGTATGAATCTTGCAGGAAACCGTAAAAGGAAGGACCCTTCAAGGTAAGGAAGTGACACTTGTCCAATGTTTAACTAAATGCTGATGCATAAGACACGCGATGGAAGAACGTGATGCCATGTGGTTAAACTGGGGACAAGACAGTGACAGTGTTGACCTGCTGAGTAGCAGCAACAGCGCATCTGAACCTGCGACTCATAACGAATCTACACCGTCTTGTGCACCCTCCGAAGCAATGGCAATTGAAACAATCCACACGGATGAGTTATCCACATCTTTTGACAATACATCTTGTGAAGTTCAAGCGCAGACGGATCAAGAAAACTGACTAACCACAACGCTCCAAGAACAGACATAACAGTTGATTCCTTCTATCATCGCTGTATTCTTCAAATTGACGATAGACTGAATCAACATGGCGCCGTTAGTGTTTTGTGCTCATTGAAAGTTGGTTGTCTCCACGTAGAAGAGGAACATGCAATAAACTTTAAACAGCGAGAAGTTTCTCGACTATTCCAACTTATCAATATTTCAAAACAAGTGATGCTGACTGTTTGCTAAATTGTCCCATATGGGTCTTTAATCACGCATTCCCACTATTCTACCGTAGACCTTTCGTGATGTTCATGTTCGATGGCCCCTTGGAGCTACTACTCGGCGGGAAATCCGTTCGCCAATCATCAGCTCAAGCATAAGCTTCATTTCTACGTTATCCCGTAGACAGAACGTGATTGCTGCAGTGCTTTTTTGGCCGTCCTGTTCTGCCCTTACTTAAGCTTAAGCCAAAACGTGAGGCTAATGTCTACGCAAGGGCAGAACAGGACGGCGGAGAAAAAAGCATGCTTTTACCTACGCCTAAACGTAAGGCTGTTCGTTTAGGCTGCTTCGTAGCAGGCTAAGGATTGCTGGAGGGATTATTGAACATGAGCATCACGAAAGGTTGACGGTGGAGTAAAAGGGACGAACGACTGTCCGAGTAGTGATCTTTAGACGTACAAAAACAGTAACAGATCAAAATTAGAGCACCAAAAAAAGGAAAACAACTTTCTTCGGGAAGTGACGGGCTTACAGCTTGAACATCATTTGTTCATTATGCAAATGT